AGAAAAAAGAAAAGAAAAAAGAAAAGAAAAAAACGCTGGCCGAAGAATAGGAAATCTTTGGGCCAGATGATTGGATAGAGATTTGACAGAAAATGTCCCACTCCTTTCAAGGCTCTACCATTTCTAATGCTCCCCAAAGTTTTCCTTCAACCATTTAAACATTCCAGGATGCTCAGTTTCTTTGTTTCCTCATTATATCTCTATCCTTTGTAGACGGATCAAGTTGATGTTAGAATAAAAGCGGTTAAAATCATCGGGAGACTTTTAGCTCTACCTGAACACCATGTAGCAAAGAAGTACCGAGGACTTTTTATGGAATTCTTGAAAAGGTTTTGTGACAAGTCAGCAGAAGTGAGAATTCATGCCATCCAATGTGCTAAAGATTGTTATATGGCCAATCCTGCTAGTTCAGAATCTCTTGAAGTTCTGGGTCAGTGATTTAGTAGTTATGATGTCATTAAGATTCTTCAATCCATTATGTACAATATATCTAATTAGTTGGTATTCGTGAACATAACAGCTGCAGTTGAAGAACGATTATTAGACTTGGATGATAGAGTGAGAACACAAGCAATAGTTGTTATTTGCGATATTGTCCGGTCAAATATCAAATTTGTTCCAGTGAGACTAATATATCAAGCTATTGAAAGACTACGAGATAAGAGGGTATTTTATTGTATATGGTTTTTGTATGCACTAAGCAATCAAAACTCACCTAATATTTGATTTGTTTTTTTAGATATCAGTTAGAAAAAAAGCCCTTCAGAAATTGTTGGAAGTATATCGAGATTATTGTGATAAATGTTCCAAAGGCCAATTGAATTTGAACGATGACTTTGAACAGATCCCATGTAAAGTCTTGATGCTTTGCTATGATAAAGATTGTAAGGAGTACAGGTTGGCTTATCACCTCTTGGATTGAAAGCATAACAATAGTTTTCAATATAATAATTATTACCACATTATAGGTCCCAGTGCATGGAATTTGTTCTGGTGGAAGATTTATTCCCACCTCATCTCTCTATTGAGGAAAGGACTATACACTGGATTCATTTATTCTCTCTTTTCAATATCCATCATGAGAAGGCTCTCAGATATGTTTTTCTGCAAAAACAAAGGTATTATCACTAGCATTGCTTTCCTGCTACAATTAAGTTATAATACTACATTTTTCTTTCATTGTTTTCCTTTGTAGGTTACAAAATGAGTTGCAAAGTTATTTGGCTCTACGAAAAAAGGACAAGGTATGTTCCTAACTTCTAAATTCTGTAGTTAGGTAAATTGTTTGCTGGATTATAGATTCATTTGTGCATGATACTGATAATGTTGCGAAGTTTTAGTCGACTTATGTTTCATTTGTTTTGTACATAAAAATATGATTGTCTTTTAAATACATCTTCAAGTTTTTCAAAATTCATCAGGGTGTGAAATTGTTGTGTAATAATGCATTTAAGAAATCGACACATATAGTTGTGATTAACCTTATGAAGTTGTATTTCGCTCCAAAATTACTGAACTCTATTTTTTTCCCAAAGTTTTTCTGTGACACATGCATTATATTGTTGACCATGGAGATGACCTCTCATATACTCTTTTTTTTTTAATAATTTTTTTATAATTTTTTAAAAATTTTTATTGCCAAAGGTAAATCTCGTGACATGCAATTGAATTATGTTGATAAAAACAACCTTCTTTACAAGTCACAATGTCTGTTGTCTAAACAAACAATTTAATGGATCTTAGTAACATTTCTTTGTCTTGTTGCTACAGGAGAACCGATCAGAAGAGATAGAAAAGAAAATTGTAACTGCATTTATCAATATGGCAGCCTGCTTTCCAGATCCTACAAAAGCAGAGGAGTCCTTTCATAAATTAAACCAAATTAAAGATAATAATGTTTTTAATTTGTTGGAGCTCTTAATGGATAAATTGACAATTGTTGAAGCTCAGGCTACCAGAGTGCGTAGTTTATCTTTTCCTTTTTGTAGCTTATTTTTTTGGTTCATATTGTAGTTGACTTTGACTTTAGGTTGTTTTATACTCTCTTCTATGGGATTTTTTCAGAATGTATATTACCTTGCATTTATTGATAGAATTATGTTTTTTGTTTTGCTTTTCAGGACAAATTTCTGAGGATGATAGGAAGTAAACATCCTCATTTTGAGTTTTTGAAATCACTCTCCTTAAAGTGCTCACATAATTTATTCAGCACAGAGCATGTACGCTATGCATTAGACTGCATTTTGAGTAACAGACTTGGAAACAAACATTTGGAGGCTTCTGCCAGCAAGCTTCTTCTGGTAATTAAAATTGCAATATGTTGATTCTAGGTTGACATGGCCTTGTTAAAAAACATTGTTGATGTAACTTGTTCACTCTCCAAGAATGCTTAAAACATATCATGTGTTAAATCACCCATAGACACAAAACACTGAAGTTGATATGTTAAAGGTATATTGAATTTTTTAATATATTTTTTACAATATAGTTTTAAGTAAAACATTTTTTTTTTTTTTTGTCTTTGTGGATTTATCATTGGTTTAATGCTAACAAAGTTACCTGTTGAAAACTTTTATTAGACGAACCATAGAAGTTTGTATAAAAGTGCTATAGATGACAAGGAGATTTTGGATGAGGCATGTTACTCTAGCTTCTTGGTGGTGTTTTGTTCTGTATACTGTTTTTGTTTAAACTCTTATAATTACTCCTATTTTGACTAGTGATAGTTGTGCTAAAAAAGGAAAAACGACAAAACCAGCTTAGAAGTGTTGGTTCGGTTTTCTAAAGTATAAAACTATAAAATGGTTGGTCGGTTTGATTTGGATAAATCTGTTGGTTTCAGTTGGTTCAGTTTTGGTTGGTTTTTCATTTATGTGTTTTTAATTTTTTTTAAAAAATTATTATTATTATTATTACTATTATTATTTTTTTTATAAAAAACAATTTTACTGACGAGTGAAATTACAAGAAGGGGGAAAAACCCACAAAAAAATCATTGGAGTTGCAAAAAACTTCTGCAATTGGTTAGTAGAGAATTCATACTCTGAGATAGAAAATAAGGAGATGCTTTACACCAAAACATAGCAAGAAGAATGATGTTGTCAAATAGATTGTTGAAAGGTAGCTCTTTGTTAAGGAAGAGCCTATGGTTCCTTTCATTCCAAAATGTCCAAAGAAAGGCTCGGATGATGTGCTCCGCATGGTCTCCTTTCCTTTTTTGAAGGGGTGTCCCACAAAAACAAGAGAGAGTAGGGCTTGGATGTCAAATGGGAGAGCAACCGTCTAGTCAAAGGCAAGGAGGATCTTGTTACAAAAGTCTGTGGCCATTGTGCATGTGTGGAACAAATGAGAGGGTGACTCCCCATCTTTTTTGCAGAGTATGCACCAGTGAGGGGAGAGAGCGAAGAATGGAAGCCTTCGTTGTAGTCTATCCGAGGTGTGATTCCCTTGTGTGCAAGTTCCCAAATAAATAATTTGATTCTTTTGGGGTAGTTATCTCCCCAGATGACTTTGGCAAGATATGGGTGGAGGAAAGATCCCTTCGGAGCCATGTCTGCGAGAAGAGATTTGGTGGAGGAGGTGCCTTTGCTGTCCAGTGGCCAAATCCAGGAGTCTTCACCGATGCAGATGAGGGTGGCTTCTAGTTTGCTAGATAGTGTGGCCCAATATATTATTTCGTCATCCTTTTAAGTGTCACCTAAAACCCAAATCCCGGAAGCATAGATTTGGATTCCAAGTCTCCTTGATAGATGCTATTTTCTGGAGGGAGAGGGCATGAAGACGAGGGAAGGATTATGCAAAGGATGAGTCTGACAGCCATGTATCATACCAGAAGGATGTAGAAGCCCCATTTCTTACATGGGAGGAGATTCTGTCAAAGATAAGGTGCCTCTGTTTGTAGATGTTCCTCCGGGGACCATGGGCAAGGTTTATGGATTTTGAGCCAGGCTTGTATTATGGCCTTCGGTTGAGTATTGTGTTTGACATTGGTTTTGGCAAAAACCCAACGAACTCAAATTTCTTACACACCCTAATTATTGATAGTTGGAAAGCCTTGTATTCACTGAACACTTGGAATTGATAGAACGTCTTCTTATCTCTATTTTGGTGTTTATATGTTTCTTTCGTAAGAGTTGTTTCTCACTAAGAAAAGTTCTCAAATCTTTCAAGGAACTTTACTTATTATCTTATTTCTGAACAAAAGAATTTTGTTGCTTTATAATACCTCACTAGTGTGAAGGACCTCAATACTTAGTCAACACGTTCGTTTCATTTTAGGCTATTATCAACACTTTCCCCTCACTCATCAGAGGCTCGGAAGGCCAGCTTCTGAGATTGTTGGAAGAAAGAAACTCAATTGATAGTAGGCTGATCAAGGTATTGTCAAAAGCAGGCCCTCACTTATCAATTGAACTCAGGTAATTGCCATTATCCACTTATGTTTGTGTTTATTAAACGTCATTTTACAAGAGCTTGATTTGGCCTTTTCTTTTTTGTTATCATTGCAATTTAATTATAAATCTTCTTTAGCTTTTAAACAATTATTGCAGAATTTGGATTCTATTTCTGCTTAGATGAAAATTTTAATGATGTCGTTGCTTTAACAGATCTCCTTGCTCGGAGAAACCTTACCTTTTACTTTAAAGTTTGTCTATTAAAAGAGGTGGACAATTGACACGAGATGTATGGTGTGTCCTTCACTAGTTTTTTTAATTACAATCTTATGATATTAATACATGGTTGGAAAGCTGTCATTCACTAGTTTTTTTGTTAGGCGGGGGCTTTCTCATCCCCCGGCCTCTAGGCTGTTCCTCCTCTTTTTCGACACAGGTTTCCTATGAAAAAAAAAGAGAGAGAGAGAGAGATGTATGCTGTGAAATCTCTCTTGAATAATGCTTTTGTAAGACGTATGCTTAGTTGATAATTGATATAAGAAAACATCTTACCTAATGAAAGTTTAGTTTGAACAGTTTATTTTTTATTTTTTAATGTTGGGCATCCATGTTTGAAGTCTTTGATTGTTAGCTTTATGCTTAGGATGATATTCTTCGGTGGTTTGAGGTTAGTTGGCTAATTTATGGCATTATACTGAGAGAAAAAGAATTTGAAATACTTTAGTGTATATTCCTTGGATGAAAAAAAAACTGAATTTTTTACTAAGACTCTTCAGTGTTGCATGCACAAGTCTTAAGATGTGCAATATGAGTGATGCGGTGCACATGAACTGAACTTGTACTGTTATGATGTGATGCATCCTAAAATTTCTTAGTTCTTTCTGTTTCCCTTCCCTTGGTAGAGATGTATACCCATTTCTGGAGAGGTTATGCTTGGAGGGTACTCGTGCTCAATCAAAGAGTGCTGTTTCTGCCATTTCTACTTTAGCTGGTACTTCTGGGCATTTTTGGTTCTCTAAACTATGTAAGGTATGCACAATATTTTCAAAGCACTGCTATTCATATATTCTTTTAGTTTTAGGTTATGTGACATTCGGGAAAAAAGGCTTACGGAACCTTTCTTTTTTTCCAGGAACTTGTTGATTCTCTACACAGAGGAATAAATCTCCCAACAGTATTGCAATCTTTAGGTTGTGTTGCAAAATATTCTGTTTCAACATTTGATGATCAGGATGTAGGGATCACACCTTATATATATGAGAAAATCCTCCAAGTAATTCTTGTGAACTTAATTTTTAAAATTTTTTAAAAAATAATTATATGAGATCTGATCTTCAATTCTAGTGCCTTCTAGTTTTGTTGAGTTTTAGCTTTTGAGTCAATCAGTCACAGAAATTTGTTGACCTATTTGTGAACCTTATTTATGTAGGTGGACTTATCAGATGATTTAAATATATTAGATGGTGATGCTGCATGTAGCAATTCTTGCGATTTAAAGGTAAATATTTGGAGACTTGGGTTTCATTTCTTTTTCAGTTTATGAAGTTGCAATCTTCACTTGTTTGCTAAGATCAAGCGTGGTATATGTTCTTATCAGTTTAATTTTACACTTGTTTGCATCACATGGGCATTGGAGGAAGTTTGTATGAGGATTAACTTGTCATTTACTCAGATAAGCTTTTTCTTTTTAATTATTTTTATGAAAGGTTTGTTTTTTTTTAAAGAAGAAAATGACGGCAATCCATAGCTACCCGAAACATTAGAAATCGAAGATGCAGGTTTTTACTATTTGTCCTGCAAAGGCAGCAGCAACTCAGTTGAAAAGAAATAATGCTTTCTTTTTGGAATAACCTGTGTGGTATAGATATAAAGAATTTTATCTTCTAGGACATTTTCTCCCCAAATTGCCTAGAGAAAAGCATAGAAAATTTGTTCAAGAAGACTCTTGAGATCCAACCAGCATCTTCTAACTTCTGTGAGGTTGACATCCATATCCCAGACTGTGGACAGGCTAAACCTCACTTTGTGATCCTTGAATGCACAGGCTATCTCTCAATCTCTCAATCTGTCATTCCAATTCCATTCTCTTCATCCCAACATTAGCCTCTGAAAAATTGTTGGACAAAACTTACCAGAGGTGATTGCTGGATATCTGCACATTTATCCTTTTAGTACTTGATTCTAGTTTCTTGTCTCAATTTAAAAGCATGAAATTGAAATTGGCTAACTTGTTCCAATAGCTAGAAATTAGGTGGGCTATTATGTTGCCCTTGGGGAAAGCCCAATTGGCTAGGGCTTGCAGTCTCTTGGTTATACTGGCTTAGAGATCTCAAGTTCGAATCTTCTGGTGAGCTTAATACCAAAAACGACTGATGTCTCCCAGGTTTGGGCCTTGGGACGGGGGCGGGCGCGGGTGCTCCTGGGTATGGCAGAGCAAAGCTCCGACTCCTAGTTCTAAAAACAATGGTGGCCTATTATGCCTATTCAACTCAAAGATATGTATCAGATCCCTAGTCTCTTTTCACTCATCTCTTACGCCGTCACAGGAAAGGAGAGTAAATCTGAATTTACCATATCATTCACTTTCTTGAAATCAAATTTTGATCCCATTGCATTTTCTTCTCTCCAATACTATTTCTATTTCAATTCTTTTGTTCCTATCACCAATCACCTAGGCAAAACTCACGAAAAAGAGGACTTAGACAACCTCACATTTTCAAATTTGAACTAGGTTGGATCTGAGAAAAAGAACTAATCTCGGACTGTGGGGAATTGATCTAAATTAGCCTTCATTCTCCTTGAAATTCTAGAGTTGTGATACTAGCTATCCACTCCAGAAAATTTTCAATATATGACATAATAGGAGAATTCCTCGTATTAGATGGGGAGAAATGATTGTCTGAGGTTGGGAATTCAATCAAATTATGATCTTCAATCATCCTATTGACCCTCTCATTTCTAACCATTTTGGTTCTCGGCCACTTGGCCGTCTCACTTCTACAATGAGCTAGGACCTTACCGGGATGAGTTCTGACCTTTAACGGGGTCGGAACAAGCTTAAAACGTCAATCAGGTACTACCGAGAGATTATTACCTTTTAACTATGTCAAAACTAGCTTATCGGGTCCATCGGACGCCTCTAAGTGGGGTAGAATGTCACAACCATACTAGTAGAGAGTAGGTTGTGACGCCCACGTAGTAGACAAGTAGTGGCGACACGTGGGCCATGTTGAGGGCCGAGAGAGAAGTGCCGTGGGTGCATCACCTGTCACACCCCAAGGATGTGCACAAGAATGTTAGAAGAAGGCTCTCTCCATGGCATTGAACAGTAAAAAGAATTTGTATCAATGACAACTTCTTTTTAACTTCTTTTTTAGGGTGGAAAAAAGTAAAGCTATATTAATTCAATATCTCAGATAAGATAAATTCTTGCAATTTTAAATTGATTTGATTGAATTCACGTGATGGGAGATACATTTTGTTCTTGAATCATTGGAAAGGTCTTAGTTTTTGAATATTCACACTATTAAAAAAAACATTGAGACAGTTATGAATTCACGTCCTCCTTGGTGGGTTAAGGATGACGTTTCTACATCTTTGTTGTGTTATCCTCTTTTCTCTTTCCCCTGCAGATTTATGGGCTGAAAACACTTGTTAAGAGTTTTTTGCCACATCAAGGAACTCCTCGAAGAAATATTGATGAGTTTCTGAACATTTTATCAAGGATGCTGAAAATGTGTGAAACCTCGGTTGAGATCATCCCCACGTATGTATTCAAGTGCATTGATGCATAAAACTTGTTTTAGAAACTTCTTAATGATCAGGAATGCTACGAATTATGAGTTAATTCTTGTTTAGCAAGTTTTAGACCTACAATCTTGGGATTGGACCTGAAGATTACATCATTTATTGTTATCCCGATTTTTCTTACTATGGCACATTCCCTTGTTTTTTTTTTTTAATTCTTTACTAAACATGTACATCTTCTTGCGTTTCTTAATTTCAAGAAAACAAACCTTTTTTTTTTTTTTATTTCTCTCGCTCAAGATCTATATTTTTTACTTTTCTGTAAGCTTAGTCGTTAATAAAAATTATAACAAAGTATTTATCTGCTTCTGCTAAGCTTTTAACTTCGGGAGACTTTATAATGCAGTGAAGATTACAAGGCTCAAATCAGATTAGCCGCTGCAAAATCAGTTATTTGTCTTGCCAGAAAATGGGATTTACAAATTGGACCGGAGATTTTTCGTTTGACAATCTTGATGGCGAAGGTACATTTGTTTGGTTGTTGTGCTCATAAATTTGAATACGCACAGGCTAACATTAACTATAAGAAAACTGGGAGCTCATTGAGCAAGCAGTGTTAATTATTAATTCATTAAACAAGGTGCATGACTAATTGTTAATAGAGGATAAAGATACCCTAGACTGCATAAAAAGATAGCCGTTATTCCTTTGAACTAGTGCTGATGGCAGTATATTTCAATGTTTTTGTTGAGTTTGATGCCCGTGATTAGAATTGTTTTTTTATCCAATAATTTAACGTTTCTTATTTAGTTGCCCCCAAGGGATTGCTCTATTGGCAAGGGCAAAGGGTCCTCTGGTATCACCTACCATGAAGTTGTGTTCAAACTTTTGGGTGAACTTAATATCAAAATCCCTTGATATCTCCAGGATCTGGCCCTTGGGACGAGTGTGGGTTCCCGAGAAAAGAAAAGGATATTTAGTATTTTTGTTCAAAATGTTACACTAATGCTCAAAATACTGCCCAAAAAATTGCCGTAACTTTTGGAATTGTGCTGTCCTAACTTGTAATAGAAATAAAAGATAGCTTATTATGGAAAGCTAAACGGATAGTCTTTAGTACATATGAAACAACGATTTCTTGGAAGTAGTCCATGCTATAGTTGCAACAATTTCATGCGTAATACACCAAGGGAAGGTTTATGAGACAATAACCCAAGAACATTTGCATTTTAGATAAAGTTCTAGAGTCGGGAAGTTTATGTATGAGGTTTAATGTAACAAACTAAGTAATGGGTTAAAAATAAAGATGAATAATTATAAAATAATTGAAACAATTTGTCATATGTTTAGAGGCTCATGGGTCTGCTGTCCAAGTGTTGGAGTTTTTCAATTTTGAGAAACTATACATGTGTCATGGTGTAATATATTTCTTCTTCTTTTTTTTTTTTTTTGTGAAAGAAACAATTTCATTGATAACATGAAATTACAAAAGTCCCATAGAGGGATTACATGAAGCACTTCCAATTGGCTATAAGGGAAGAGTAACTATAGTGATGGAAAAGAGGAGAACCTTTACACCATGTAATAACTAGATAGACTATAGCATCAAAAAGCCGCTCGTAAGGGAGAAATTTGGCGTTGAAAGTCCTTTGATTTCTTTCTCTCCAAAGAAGCCAAAAGAAGCACGAATGAAATTCATCCAGAGAAGCTTTTTTTCCTTTTTAAAAGGGTGGCCATGGTGTAATATATTTCAGTATGTATAACAGATTTTTTTTACATTTTTACCTTAATGTAATAAAAAGATTGATTCAAAATACAAATAGAAAATATCTTTGACATGTTAGACAAAAGTAAAGTGAAAACTGGAAACTAAAAGTATTCTTTAATAAATAGAACAAATCGAGCAATCTTTGTTCTTCTGGATGAAGTTTTACTAAAATGTATATAGAGAATATGTCATTCAGTTCAACCTACTTCATCTTCATCTATTTGTGCGGACATCAGTTTATTTTACTTTGAAATTTACTCCTTGGTTGCTCTATTTCTTGTTGATCTGATGGATATTAGTCTTCCAAGTGACCCCTTTATGAGCAGTTGGTACTTTTATTTCCTGTTACCTTCCAGGACTCCTCTTCTGTTGTTAGAAGGCTATTTATTGATAAAGCACACAAGTTACTAAAGGAGCAGGCTATACCTACTCGATATGCTTGTGCTTTTGCATTCTGCATCTCGGATAGTGTGAAAGATCTTCAGGATGATGTATGTCCATTTCTATCAATTATTCAGTATTAATATTATTCTTCGGTACCTTTGCTGTATGGTTTTATGCTTCATTTTGTGACTATACTCTTCATTTCATTTCAGTCACTTAAATATATGGCAGAATTTATTGAGCAATACAGTAAGATAGCACAGATTCATCAAACTTCTGTGGTTCAAGATGGATCAATGACTTTATTCCCAGCATATATCGTAGTGTTCTTGATATATATTCTAGCTCATGATTCAGGCTTCCCACATTTAGACTGTCAAGACGAAAAAGTATATGCTCAATTTTGTAGGTAAATGTGCCTTTGGTGTGAATCTTTGTTCATTTTAAGTTTTTCCAGTCCATAATACCAATTGGTGTCTCTGCTTGAAATATGCTCTTTTTGCAGCCCACTTCTATTTGTGTTGCAGATGTTTATCAATGCAGATGTAAATGCTGCCAGGGATACTGTTTTGTATTTGCACAGTATTTTTCGTGCCATCAGAAGGGTGGAGGATGCTGTCAATATTGATATATCACCTGTGAGAGTTCATTGTAATGGATTTACATTATCGCTGGCATTTGTTGCCACACATTTCATCAACTGAATGGGTTTTTGTTTATAATTCCAGAAGCTGCACATCTTGGCAGACATTGGACTCTCGTTTGTAACTTCTCTAAATAATTATGGAGTCTCCCTGTCATGTGCCCCAAAGCAGATTTTACTGCCATTGTCACTATATAGAGTAAGTTGGCCAAAGAAATTTGACGTGGTGTGTGCTTGAGGAATACGACCTCAAGTGAATGTTTTTTGCAGGTAAATTCCAGGCAGCTTTCTCAGCATTCTTATGATGAATGTTTTGTTGGAAGAGTTCTTAAGGCATTTCAATCTCAAATCATTTTGGTATGTCGCTAAAGTCATTCTTTAGTCTTTACTGATCATCTTATGAATTCCATATGATTTTTCATTTGTCATTTTGTTGCATGAAATTTGTCATTGCCCATGAAAGCCTGCAAATACGACAAGAGGTGATCAAAAGTGGCTGGAGAGTAACATGCAAACAAACATCAACCCCTGTTCCTCAATGAGCATGAGAGCTTGTAAGCAAGTTGAAATCATCACCTCAAAAGCAATGAAAAAAAGTAAAATTGTTAATCAGGAGAATATTGTTGGCCGGAGGCGAAAACGAGCGGTCTCTCCAACGACGTCCACATCAATTGAATTGCATGAACGTTCTCAAGTTTTTCAACGAAATTTTCCAACAAATAGAGATAAAAATAAATTATCTTCTGAACTTGAAACCACAGAAGCTTCTCCGGTAGAAACACATGCATCCATCCAGAGTGTGGATATGAATGTAACTTCTCAGGACAATGTATTGGCAGACAGCAGTTTTGATGATGAGTCCTCAATGCATGTCAACGACCAGCTTACTAATACATGCAGTATGAAGGTCGAAATTCTTCTTAAGATTCTTTTGTTTATTCCCGAGGGTTATACCAAGTTATGCAGTTAATTTTTTGTGAAATGGTTTGGTTAATCAGCTAATTGAAAAATTATATTCACTAGAGACAATACTCAACGATCTAGTTTTTCATTCTTTTAACTTTGTTATCTGCTTATGCATGTCCACTTCCTTAACAATGTGAAAGATGAGTAACCCCTCGTTTGAATGGTCAATAAATCAGTGCCTGGCTCCACATCTTTGTATGTCTGATATTGATATTGCCTTAATACTCTACACTGTGTATCTAATTAGCAGATGTTGCAGGTCACAAATATTAGTGGGAATGTTGAACTGCTGAGCTCAGAAACTGATAGTTTGGATACTATACAAGATGGTGTTTCCTAGTGTAAGGGGCAAGAGCAATTATGGGGATGTAAGATTAAACAATTTAGACGAATTATGCTTACTGTTCTGCAAAATTTAGCTTGAATCAACTACCGCTGCATTCGATATGGAACTGAAAATGATTATAAGGGATAGAATATAAACTATCACTCCTATAATAACAATCCAGTACTCAAGGCTATTATTTCTTCTCGTTATTGGAATATGGCTTTTTAGTGATTGGAATTCTCAAACTAACCTCTGCCTTATGTTTTATCTTCATTGCAAAGAAATATTCTTGCATCTGATATGTAATTTCTTCTGCAGGACATGAATATGGGCAATGGTTCCAAGACGGAGACATGTCATGTACAACCTTAGTAAGTTTTTGAATTTCTAGTTTTTGTACCGAACATAATTTTCTTGCATTTTGATGCCCATTTTTCTTTCCCGTTACAGTAAGATTTTAAGTGGTATATTGCTATCGGGTGAAAAAGGGGGAGGGCAAGAGTATGCTGATAACTTAGAAAAATAAAATAAAATAAAAGAGAACAATGGACATGGGGTATTTGATTTCACCAAGTACAGCCACCAATAGAGAGAGGATGATCTATTAGAGAGAGATCAATTAACCTATTGAAGTGCCTTTTGTACTTGTTAAAGAATGCCAAGTAGCTTTCTCAAAGCACCACCTAACAAAATTAAAGAAGTTGGAGATTAGGCCAAAAACTATCATCAGAAACAAAATGCATCCCAGCATAAAATTTTAAGAGAAAATCCGTCATGAGTAACCTTTGAAAACGTAAAGGAACTCACCGAGAATGAGTTTAAGTCATAGTAGCCACCTATTTAAGATTTAAAATCTTACAAATTTTCTTGGCAACTAAATGTAGTAGAATCCGATGCTAAGTACTATACACCCATATGAAGATTTACTCAAATTCAATATTATATTTTTATGGTCACGATAGTCTCCTTGTGTCGAGTGACGATAATATTAATGTATGCACCTAATAATTTGCGTTCATTTTCAGGTTGTCGGAAGTCAAACGAAAAGCAGGAATCAATTACGAGCATTTTACTGTCTTGAGTTGAGGTGTTAGTGTCTTACCCCTTTCATTTTTGGGTTGTAAAAATGGTAGTGTGCTTAGTCTTTATAGAAATGAACACTTGATTTCCATAAAAAGGAAAAAAAAATAGTGAAATTGAAATTGGATGCAATGTTTGGCTTGTATATATTATCTCCCCAACACCACTGGAGAAAATTCTCTGTACAGAAACATTTCTTTTGGACAATCATTTTTAAATCGAATGAACATTTTAGAGAGTAACTGCATTATTTAAGTGATGGCTTTGAGCCGTATCAAAAATTTCAGTTTTTTTTTTAATTAATTACATGATTTTATTTTTTATTTTTATTTTTTGCGAAGTTTCTATAAAAATTAGTTTCTGCAATTTTTAAAAGATTTTCTTGCCATTAGTTTCTTATCTTGGTCGTAACATAAAGTTGATTTTATTATAAAAAAATATGTAAAATATGTAACTGTGTCTTTGGTGGCATGATTACTAATTTACTACAAATTATTTTCTAAGATTTTGAAACAGGAAGGAATGAAATATTTTATGATTAGGTATAGAGTCATCGTCAAAGAATTTATTTGGGTCCGTATGATTCTGTAATGTTTGAGAAAGACTATAAAATATTTTCTCAAAAAAGAAAAAAAAAAGAAAGACTATAAAATAAATTAAAGTTGCCCTACCTCTGCGTGTACTAAAAGAAATCAAAGTTGAAACTTATAGATTAATAGGGAACAAAATGAAACGAGTAAATTTGGATGGTGAGTTTCTTTCCTCCAAAAAATAAAAAATAATAACAACAAATTGGAATGGTGCTATGCTGTTTACCTTTGTAGAAAACTGTCATTTAATGTTTTCCAATTGATCTGACGTCTAATTAATTATTATTGATTGTAGTGGTCCATTATAATTAATCACACTTTAAAAAAAATTATATAAATATATATATATATAGTTAGTCAAACTATTGATTTATGATATTCAATGCCCAAGAACTATAAATATTATACTTAATATAACAAAATTAGTTAATTATTTTTAGTAAATATCAGCACAGTATAGTGGTTAAAATATCTTGCTATTTCTTTGGAGATTAGAATTTTCCTTTTCTATAAGTTAGAGATTCAATTTCTCGCTAAAGTATGATGCTTGATGATCTTTTATTGACCTGAAATAATATAAATATTATATCAAATGTAGTTAAGATATTTGTTAAAAAAAAGTAATAAAATATTTAGTTTGAGCATAAATTAGACATCGGACATGTATTATCACTAAAAGATTATGAGTTTAAATCTTTATCACACGTGTTATTATTCTAAACAAATATTTTTTAATATAGTTTAAATAAGATAACTTAATCAAGAATGCGACTCAATTTATTAAAAATAGTGAATAAATTTACTTTATAACTTTGTATTATATAACTAAAATAAACGAAACTAACAAATATTTTTAAATACAAAAAACGTCAAAAATAATTGAATAAAGTAGGTTAAAAAGAACCATCATATGAATATAATAAATTATATTTCTAAGTTTTTTCTAATAAAGGTATTTGTTAAAATTAATTAATAGAGAGAATGAACCAAAAGTTACCGAATTAAACTGGTTGAAAGTATAACTCATATAAAATAAAATAAAAAAGTGTTTATAAAAAAAATAAAAAAATTTGTTTGAAACGATAAACAGATTAATTAAGTAAATATTATGTTGAACATGTAATCATTTTACCAAGTTCAATGTTAGTCAGATTAGTCAACATTTCTATGTTTTTGTTACTAAAAGTTTAAAAATTTGTAATTTGTACCATAAATATGGAAGATTGAATATTAAGATGTATTAGTCAGAACTTACCGATAATTAACACTTGTTTCTAGAACCCGACCTCAGTACCAAAAAAAAAATCAAGGTATTTTTTTTTATTTTTAAATTTTATAAATAACGAAGGTATTGTTTGCAGTATCATATTTATTTTTCTCTATTAATCAAATATTAGGGATAATTTGTATATATATTTAGCCTAAATACAATTATATTCCACGTTAATTCGGTTCGTCCTCTGTGTTCACGAAAAGTATATTTGGGTTCCATAGCAGCGTGGAATTGGAAGTTACCGCCATAGCTTTTTTAATCTCCAAACTTCGTCAATACTTCTGGAATTCCGACCATTCAAAACCCCATCGCCGGATTTTACCTCGGAGCTCCATTTTTAGGTTTACAGGCGCAGCCTCGCTCTCGTCCACCGGACAACCCACAGTTGGCGCCCTCTTTATCATGTGCGCTCGCCCATGGCTAACTTGAGGACCGACTCTCCAGTCGCTTGCCGCATCGTTCGTGCCTTTCTTGACTTCCTTAACTCCGGTCTCGTACCTTTTCCCCTTTTTCTTATTGCTTTTGTTCTTCTAATGCTATAATTAAGCATTTTTCAGCACCTTCAGTAGGTTTTTTCTTCTTCTTCTGCTTAGAGCGATTGCACAGAAGGCCTTTTGTTCTATATTTTCGCCGTTGAATTATCGAGAATGCATCGCGTGAGATGTGGTGTTGAATTTGTCTCAATTAGGCGATTTTAGTGGAGTGAAGCAATATGTTGTATTAAGCAATGTTCATTACCACTTTGATGTTCGTATTAGGGTTTTCATTAAGTTATCTGACAATACTTAGTCTTCTTGTGCGCAGTGGAACCGGGTCCAGGTGTTGACGTTGAAGGCCTTGAGGTCGCAAAACAATGTCTAGAACAAGTGTTCAAAGTCGAGTCACCTGCTTCCGACGAGTTAACGGAATTTGATTCGCTAGTGGACATTTTTAGTTCACCGGAATCTTTTCAGCGTCCTGATACCAATTCATTTGTTGATAATGGAGCTTTGCCAATGGATCATCATTGTCCTCTTAATTTGAATAATTCTGATGCCAATTTATCGAAGTCACCAAAATCTCAGGTCAACTTTCTTTCATTAATTCTCTGTAATAATTTCCATTCGCTCATATATGTATATAGTTCCATACCGTTTGTGTCTATAAAAATAATAGGTGAAGTTTATCATCACTGGGATAGCAGTGAAACATTGTAATAATCTGCGGCCAGGATGAGATTATACCTTGTTGAGTGTGTTTTTTCATTCCATTGTTTTGAGCCAAATGTAGAAGTGAAACTTACATCCCTCAGAATTTCAAAATAGTGTTCACCAAGGCTGATTTTTTCCACAATCAATATATAGTATTTACCGGACTCCGATTGTAAGGTCTGAATTTGATACCTCTCGTTGTGGCTGATCTTGCTTAGCAATCTTCTTGTTTCTTTCATTGAAACGTTTTTTTATTCTACTTTTGGAAAGATCATGTTGCTAATTACTGTTATTCTGGATATTAAAGCATCCAAATTATATAATTAAATGCTGGATCCATAAATGCTTCTATTAATTTTCATGTTTTGCTTGGTTTGAAAATATTTAAAATGCACTCAACTAATATCTATCTAATTGAATTATTTGGTTGTTTTGATTTGTGTTGAGTTTTGACCCTCTCAATTAATCCAGGGGGATGATTGGTCAAGAGAATCTCATCCCTTAGGTATGTTTTCTCATCTTTTCTTATTCTAAACCTTGTATGCTTGGGTTTAATTTGTCTTTGTATATTATCTTTTCTAGAATGTAACTGTAGCTGTCTACGTGGAAAACCGAAGCTACACATCAGCATGCTACTTTTATACTTATTGTTCTTTAAGATTCCCTTTTAAGTTTTCAAGTGTTATAGAGAAATTTTTATCGAAAGGGCATTGAAGAAGTAGAAAGATCATGCTTGGTTAATTTGGAGCACTGTATCTTAGTCTAAATATATAGGTGAACTTGATTTGGTATGGAGTAGAAGAATTTAACTGTGATCTAGAATCGGCTATGTAATTACACATGGATAATGGTTTTCTTTTTCATACTAATTACTAAATATTCACAATATGACAATTGGATCTAGTGAAATGTAGTAATTGCAGCGGTTGGAGATTGTATCTTAAAATTTTGATTCATCTCTAATGAAGCGAACAATAGTGATTTTTTTTTTTTTTTTTTTTTTGTGGGAGGACATTTAGATAGGATGGGGGCAAAATTGCATATAATTTTTTCACTTGTTTGGTCACCTTCCATAAGATTAAGAACAATGAACACTTGACTAGATTCAGATTTAATTTGCATCTTTGAATTTACATGAAAAGTGATAGAATTAGACCACCACCACCTTTTAATAATTGTTCTCTTGACTTGGGGAACATCTCTCCTTGTTTGACTATGCTCAAGTTGCTAACTTGCGACTGGCAAGTGGAGATTGCAAATATATTGTTTGCATTCCGACAGCTCCCAAGGGAAGAGCAAATGATGATGCCAATTTTACTGGAAAATATGGAGGGAAAGAAACAAAAGCTTTTTTAAAATATGGATTTCTTATCCTTCTTCTTTCTGCATTTCTCTCTCTCTCTCTCTCTCTCTCTCTCTCTTTTTCTTTTTAATTAATTTATTATGTTTTTCTGTAAATGTATTTTAAAAAGATTATATATCCTGAATCAATTGAATTGGTGGTTTGGATTTTGTCCTTTTTTTTTTTTTGTTTTTCATTTGTCTCGTGTTGGTCATCTTTTTTTGCAGGAGTATTGAAAGATGAACTTTTAGGCCAATTTGTTCTTGCTCTTGAAAAACTTCATTATTTTCGGACCACAGCAGATGGGAAGGATGATCCTGACCAACTTGAGCGAGCAACTCTTTTGTTTCATGATGCTCTTGGAGTATGACTTTTCTTGAAGTTTTGTTACTCCAATCTCCAAATGAATTTTATTTCTTAAGCATGCTTCATGCTTGTAATTTTATTTTTTCTTTCCCTGCCTCCTTGCATAATCCTTTACAAAATTTCTTACTGTATCAGGAAATGGAAAGATCTGGATGCACTGAAATTAATTACAAAAACTTGGCCGAGTCATTGAAGTCTCTTGGTATTACAACTACTACGAATCTCTACTCTGAATACTCTTCAGTTCGTTTAACTTTATCCTATGATTTCATGTCGTGCACACTCATTTAATATGGTAAAGGAAAAAATAGGTTCCCCTCATGCAAGTGTATTGTTTAGATCATTTTCTCTGTATTATTTAGATGAACTTTTTCATGTATGTTTATCCTCATTATTTATGTAGTATAATTGGTATTAGTTTTTTGGTTCATTAACTTTCTGAGTGGTTCTAATATGTAAAAATATATTTTGTTTTAGGTAACAGGGCTATGCAGTCAAAACTATACTCTGATGCAATTGAGTTGTATAGTTGCGCAATTGCACTCTGTGAAAATAATGCCATTTACTACTGTAACAGGTAGAATGCTGTCATATTATAAAGATCATTAACGTGAACTGTGATAGAAGCAGATCAACACAGTCATTCATATTTTTAAACATATCGTTATATTTTGTGTCAACTCTTCTGTTGAATAGGTAAGTTATGGATATCAGGTTATCAAAATTTTGTCAAGATGATGGAGATTTCAGGACCTAAGTAGGCTATCTCTTACTTACTAAAAAATCCTACTGTAATTTCTCTTAGCAGTTGAAGAAATCCTGTCAGTCATTTTTTTTTTTATATTGTCTTTCAAATTTCTTCATATGAAATAGTGTAGGATCACTATTGCGCACAATTATTACACCTTCGAGTATAGTTGTGTGGATGGAAAAATATATCTGCTCACAACCATTGTCTTTATAGTTTCGTTTCACTTTTTCCTAGGCTTTTCTTCCCAATCTAATTTCATTAAGTGTATTGACAATGCATTCATTCTTGTTCTTTTCTTTCCCCTAATTTTTACTAATGGCATTTTTTTCAATGTGTCAAATTTTTTTTTTTAACTCCTTAGGGCAGCGGCTTACACTCAAATCCAGAAATACTCTGAAGCAACGAGAGACTGTTTGAAATCCATTGAAATTGACCCAAATTATAGCAAGGCATATAGTCGTCTGGGCTTGGCTTTATATGACCAGGGGAACTATCGTGATGCTATTGATAAAGGATTTATTAAAGGTTGGTGAGACTTTAAACACTAGAATCCATGTAAGTCAAATTTGGTGAAAAGAGAATCAAAACGTGTTTTCTCTATTGCTCTGAGCACTGAATTTGTGTTAAATTGTGAAAGTGCTTGTAGAGAACTCTATGTATTTGAAACTGATCCGGTCTTTTTTCTTACACAGAATATGTTTAGGCACTCGTATCTACATGCATTTTAAATTACACTAGCTAATAGTTACACCAGTCAGTACTGGCTTATAATAATAAATTAAAGCAACTTGGCATGTATACTTCTACTTTATTTATTTATCCCGAGAGTTTAAAGTTTGATTGTGAAGTAAATAGTAAAATCCAAGGACATTGATTGTAAAGTAGTTAGGTATCGCATGGATTTTACTTTTCTAATTATTTGCAAGTTTGAATATCTGTAAAGAGTTTTATCTTTGTTGTTTCCACTCAAGAACCAATCTAAGACCCTTGGGATGAATTTTACTCTTATAATTATTTGCAATTTGAATATTTGTAAAGAGTTTTGTTCTTCCACTCAAGAACAAATATAAGACCCTAGGGATAATGGTTTTTGCACTGCTTTTAGGCAATGTGGAGAGAAATAATTAGGAAAATTTTCTACGTCAAATAGAGAAGTCGTGAGGAAGCCATAGGAATGTGTAGTAACATATTATTTTTGGATAAGAAACACTTTCATAAGAAGAACAAAAGAACATGAACAGCCTAAAGGACGGTGGCCAAGACAACCCCCTCCAAAAAAGAATCTAATCACAAAAAAACTCTCCAATTTTGTAAAATCAGAGAGAGGCTGTAATTACAGGAGAATTTCTAATTTCTAATGCACCACCAAGATGCTAAAACCTGCACACTATTACAAAAAGAATCCCAAGACTTAACTTTATCTTCGAAGGAGCGTTCGTTCCTTTCCATCCAAACATTCCAAAGAAAAGCTTTGAAAGCGCATCTCCACAAAACTCTAGCCTTTCCATTGAAATGGCAACCATGAAAACATTCTAATAACCAGCTCTCCACGTCTTTAGGCATACATAATTGGACGTCAAAACATTGAAATAGAAGCTGCCAACCTTTTAAAACAAAAGGGCAGTGAAGAAACAAATGATCTAAAGTCTCTGCCCCTTTCCAACAAAGACAGCAAACCGACAGAGACAAAGACCACTTCGGGTTCTTTGAAGTTTCTCATGGTTGTTTAGCGCTCGGTGAGCCAAAGACCATAGGAAAACCTTTACTTTCTTCGGGATAGGGTCCTTCGAAATGAAAGTTATCATGGAGGACTTTAATTTGGGAGGGGTTTCTCTTAATTTCAAATAGGCTAAATTCGTGGTGAAACGACCATTCTGCTCCAGCGGCCAGACAACAGCATCTGATTCTTCTTCTAACACGAAAACCTCCAAACGTTGAACCATTCTCGTCCAACATTCCAATACTTTGCCAAAGCATTTTTGTGAGTCGTATATAACTCTTTCCCCAAGTCATTGCTTATTTAGTAATCATTGTATAATAATGCACTCGTGTTTTAAATTAGAGCAAGTTCCTACATATTTTGTTGAGCTCTTTTACCATTTTGAAGATTAGTATGTGTGTGGAGTTTGTTATTTTCTGAGAAAAACAGATTCCTTCAATATCAGCTTTAATGTGCAGCCTTGATGTTGGATCCAAACAACGAAGCTGTCAGGGAAAATATTCGAGTTAATACGCTGTGACTTTCACCACTACAACTGGTTTCTATTACTTCTACAAGTATGAGTGTGTATGACAATGCTTATTTTGAATCGTTGTAGGTAGCTGAACAGAAGTTAAAGGAAGCGCAGCGACAATCTCAACATGAGCAGGTACAATGTGCTTTATTTTCTCGTGGAGTCAAGGGTCCTCTCACAGAGGAGTTTTGCAGGTTTCTATCTTATAATATAATGAAATGAAAGCATTTAAAATATATCTGCTGCCCATTCTTGCTGATATAATTTATAAAGACAGTTTTTTTTATTGACTTACATTTTTCTGTTAGAATAGTTGATGAGGTGTAAATTTTAGTTAGCCTTTTGCTAAATTCTTGTAGTCCTAATTCATTTAACTACTTCTCTTTTAGAACTTCTTACTGGCTTTTGGAGTTTCCGAGGCCCGTAGACCAATGCTAGAGTATTTTGATCTTGTTCTATAATAGTTAAGACAGACAGATTTTTACTTTGATATTGTTAGGGGCTACGGGTCTCATTTTTTTTTCTCAATGAAAGCATAATACCACTGAAAAATAGTAAGGGAGGCTCCTCCCATCCTCCGCTCTCTTCCAAATGGACCCCCCGGCCCAAGTTTTGGTACAAATACTGAGAGTTTTGAAGTTTGAGATAAGCCACTTCCTAGTTCCTACAGATACCATAATTTGACCAATGTAATCCCCATTTTATAAGCCTAGTATTTTATTATCTGGATGGTCCTAGAGCAAAAATGATCTCAGTCTTGCTAATGGACTTATAATAAATGTCTCTCTAGACTGTTCTTAGCTTTTGATGTAATGTGGAGATGAAACATTATCTGTGTTTATTCGTTGAAAATGATCTGTCTCTTCTGAATTCAAGAGTCATAACATGTTTCCATGTTTTTGTCTTTGCCAATTCCTGTTCGTTGTGTTGTTCCCTCCTCAAAACCCTACTAACATTGCTAGTTCTCTATATTACTTTTCAACCTTACCCGGTGTCCATACACATGTTTGAAGGTTCATTACTTGCTGGCATTGCATAAATGGAAAACCTACCACAAATTTGTCACACCTGCTTAAATTTCCAATCCGCAAGTTTTTTAATTCGGGTCACTGGTCAGTTAAGACCCGGAGTAGCTTTCCTTTCATAGAGTTCTAAACTCCTTTCATAGAGTTCTATGTATGTAATATCTCTCGGTGTCCATATAAAACTGTTGGGAAATGGAGTTCTTTGATGTGATGTCAATGAAATGGCTTCAGCTATAAAAAATGGCATTGTTCAGTTACTTGAAGTTAGCATAAGTGTTGCAAATCCTATCCAAGTTTAATATGTAATGGGAAGTAAGCCTGTTAACTTTTTATATGGTTTAGTTTTTTCTTGTTCATCCTTCGTTATACTCATTAAATTCCTCTACCTAGTTGCTGCATGATTTATCTACAACGGGTTTAATTCCATGCAGGGTTCATCAAGTCGAAGTCAAGAATCCCAAAACCAGTCTGGTGGAGGGTCAAGGAATGACAACACATCACCTCCCTTCCCTTCTATGCCATTTAATGTCACTCTGCCTTCCGAAATTTCGAACATGTTCATGAACATGGCTGCTAACGCTACAACCCCATTCCACGGGCAACATCCCCAAGATGGGCAAGAAGAGAATAGGAACGGTAATGGATTGGATGATCCCGGACCCAGTATGGATGGAAATTTCAGTTTCAGCATTGGAGATGGAATGCCACAGGATCTCAATGGTGCTTTGAGATCTATGATGCAGATGTTCACTGGATCAGCCCCCAGTGGAAATCCTCAGGATGACACCAATAGAAGATCCCCACCACAAGGCTGAAACATTTGGTCAGTATATTATTGCACTGAATCCCCTTTATTCAACATTTGGTCAGTATATTTATTTTTGCTTGCTCATCTTCAGTTGACTTCCATTTCCTTTACATCCTTTGGGGGGTTTCATCAATTATATGGTATGGATCTTTGGGACAAAAATCTAGGGCTTTGAACAGATTCAACCTTCAAATAAATCTGCTATTTTATTAAGCTATCAAGCTTGTCTTGTTAAACAAGCAACTGTAACGGCCAATGACCGAAACTGAAGCCACCCCTTTTTTTTATTTTATTTTAAAATTGATGTCGGTTTTTGTCCAAGTCAATTCCCAAGCTCGGCATCCATTTCATAAACTATTCTTTTTTTTTTTTAAATGCAATTTAGAGGAAGTAGGATATGAGCTGAACTTGGTCTGGACCGACTATAACATTTTTCATTTTATGGTTAGTGATCCAAAGCTCAGATCTTTAGCCAAATCCGAGGATCAGCTGCCCGAAACGTTGACCTGACCGAGGCAAAGAGAGATCGTTTTCAACCGCATTCTCTCGAAGTCGAAGGTACCTTTTATTTAAATCTATTTTGTTATAGATAATTATCTTATCTTCATTTAAGCTTAGCGATCAAGGAATTTTAGAAGGCTCCTAATAAATAAATTAAGTTTGATTTATTAGAGTGGAATTTTGTTGTTGTTGGTTTGCTGACCTTTTTATCCATTTCTTGTATTTTAACACACGTGATGGGTGGTATAAAACTTACCTTCAGATGTATTATAATACAAACTACTTATATATTATGCATACTATCTAGGGTGAATTATTATTTCTATCCGTGTAATTTCAATTTCGGATCATTTTAATCTTTGTACTTACTCTATTTTGATTTTTATACTTTTAATAATAATTATTTTGGTCCATTCATTTTATTTTACCTCATTTTTTCAATCACAATTTAATATTATACTATATTCTTTTAAATGTAGTCGTGACTTAAAATTTTAAATTATAGAGTAAAAAACGAACATTTTAAAGGTAGTTGAAAGTTCTGTGAATAAAATAATATTTTAATCTACTAGAATCATCAAATTCATGATTAAATTATATGTATATGGAAATCTACTCTATATTATAAGGGTCCAATCATGAATTAAAACTAAATAATAATAATAATAAAAAAAAACAACTCTTATCAACTCATTGACAGGCGTCAGATTTTTCCCAATACGATGTCTATCCATATTTATTACCTATGGCGGTGAGTGGCCCAATAAAATGGTTGTAATAAAATTTATTTATTACCTATGGTCCTCTTTTCTCTTGTGAATTATCTCATAACTTCGATATATTAATTTTCCTTTGTCTTTCTGTAAAAAAATAAAATAAAATAAAAATTATTTGTCTTAAATTGTCCTTTAATTGTGAAGGGACATCTTCTGAACTGCCATAGGACGAGGGAGAGGTTTCCTAATTTGTCTTCATTTGAAAAGTCAAGCTCCGAAATATTTTGAATTTGTCTTAATCGAAATAATTAGTGAATAATACTCCAACATTTTCTTATAGTACAATATATAGAGTGGTGATTCAAATTCTGACTTTTTAATGAGAAATGAATGCCTTAATTAATTAAGTTTAATTATGCTTAGTTTGAAAATACTTTAGTATTTTTCTTCTAACCAAAATTTTAGAGTTTAACTTTTTGAAAAATGGAAAAGTGAAGTTTCTTTCTCTCCTGCAAAAAATTTAATGATCGGTAAGATGTTGATTGGTTAGCAATATTATTCATAATTAATTAATTATTGGTCATTGATTATTTATTCATAACTAAATTTGTGTACTAAAATGACCTAAAATGTTAGTTACACTATTTTATAAACATTGTCCTTAAAATTATTTGAGACAATAAAATCTAATTGTTGTTAATAATAAGTAATTTCTAACTCATTTTACAATTCAAATACCATATAGACTACTACTAAATTATCTTTAGGTTTTTACTTAAAAATTTTTTACAAAATTATGTGTTTTTTTTTTTTTTGAGTTCAACAACATGTCAGATCCGCTCCCACATATTATACTCTAATTCAACATTTTGTATTATATATAATATATAGAGAGAGAATGGTGCTGACAATCTAAACATAATTCAACGATTAAAGTACTATGTAAAAAAAAATCGTGAGTTTGAATTTCTGCTCCTATATATTATATTCCCATTCAACATTTATCTATTTTTTCTTTTTATATATACATATAGAGTTGTGCAAGTGCAGATAATCACGCCATGTAAATACTTATGCAATTACGCTATTGACAAGACTCTCCAGATGGGAAAATAAAAAAAATAAAAAAAATTAAAAGGAAAAAACTCTAGAATGAGTCAGATATCGGACGTGAACGGCCAGGATTTAAATCAGAAATCTGGAATTCTATTCGCATTTCGCACCTCACAGTCCGTATCTCCACCCCACGCCTTTTTTGTCACTGTCAGAATCGTGCTGCTCGAACCCGAACGCCGATCCGTAATGGTATAGGGTGCAAACCCAATGCGATCATTCATTGTTCGTTCATTCATTCATTCACTCATTTCCCTACTCTCTGAGAAAACAATATAAAATTCCCCCAAAACTGAACTTGATTCGCTTTCCTAGGCTGAAAGTTCAATCTCTGCCCGCATTGACGGCTCCGCCTGATTCCGTCTACACCCATAAATTTGGCAGCATCGTTCTTCCTCCGTACTCGGATATTACTGTGGTTTGACGATACTTTGCCCACGCATTTGTTTCTGGATCTTGCTTGTTGCGAAATGTGGAATCTGTGAATTTGCCTCTACTTACTCTGTTGGTTATATCTGCGGCGAGGGAAGAAGTTCAAGGTATTAATCCCTAACCGGTATACTTCCGGAAATTTTGTTTGCGTTCTGATTGCTCGTTACGGAATCTCGAATTGGGTATTTCTGGCGTTTACTTTTGTTGTCTGTGTTTAATTTTCATTGCGTGTATAGTAATGCTCTGTTTGAGGGGAATTTCTGTTTCTGGTTATTTTCTCCATTTGTGGGACTTCCATGAGACTTGCCTGCTGGTGCTTGGATTCAATCTGGGAAAGTATGTCCATCGTAGCTTCCTAAAATTGCCAAAGTTGGTCTTTTTAACGGAAAACTTCCAGACTTCTATGTATAAGAAATTTTATATTCGGGTTAGTCATTTTTATCATTGTTGTTGTTATTATCATTATTGGCTTTCCACAGGAAACAGATCAAGTCTTCATATCGGTTCCTTCGTTGATTGAGGGGATGGGGAGTTGTTTGTGATTAACTCATACTTGGTAATCAATCTTTCTGAATCTCGCTTCCTTCTTTTTTTTTTCATCTTGTAGTTAGATTCGGTGCCTGAAGTCGTCAAGAGATGAGTGCATATATCGTTGGTGTTCTTGTACCTATCGTAGTTACACTTTTCTTTCGAAACACCAAAAGAGCGAAGAGAAGAGGCTTGCCTGTTGATGCTGGCGGGGATCCTGGTTTTGCTGTTCGGAATAGTAAGCACGCTGCGCCTGTGGAATCAGCATGGGAAGGCATCTTTACTCTTGCAGAGCTCTTTGAGTACTCATGCAAGCAGCACCAAGACAGACGCTTACTTGGAACCCGGAAATTGATCTCAAAAGAGACTGAAGTAACTAAAGATGGAAGATCCTTCGAGAAGGTTCATTTGGGTGACTATGAGTGGCTAACATATGGTCAAGCATTTGAAGCTGTGTGCAGTTTTGCTTCTGGTCTAGTGCAACTTGGGCATAAAAAGGGTGAACGTGCAGCTATCTTCGCTGACACTAGAGAAGAATGGTTTATTGCCTTGCAGGTCTTTGTCTCCCTCCCCATATCTTGTTTTGTGTAAATTGCATCGATATTTGGAATAATTTCTGAGACATATTTTTCTATTGTCAAGAAATGTTGTCTGACCTGCGTGTTTCCTTGTACCAGGGATGCTTTAGGCGCAATGTTACAGTTGTAACCATATATGCATCTTTAGGAGAAGAGGCATTATGTCACTCGTTAAATGAGGTTCTCTTCCTCTCTCTCTCTCATATGCAAGCATGCACGTGTGCTACACAAAAAATAATAAGTGAAGCTACATATTTTTGTTCTCCACATTCAACCCACAACCATTGTTCCTATTTAAATATTTCTAAAACCCGGGTCAAAAAACTATCCTAGTGTTCATAGATACACATGTTTTTGGTCTCAAATTCTGTCTCCTATCTCCTTCGTGCTCAATTTGTTTTGTTGGTTATCTCCTTGCAGGTTATCCGAATTCATGAAATTCAAATACCATATACTGCTAAAATTGAACTGTTGAGATTTGGTTTTTGTACTGTTGGTTTTGAATTTTGATTATTGATGCATGATGTATGACCATTAGTCCTTTTTCATCTCCAGACAGAAGTCACTACTGTGATTTGTGGCCAGAAAGAGTTGCATAAACTTTTAAGTATTGGTGGACAGCTTAATACAGTGAAGAATGTGATATGTATGGATGAGATTCCTCAGAGCATTATAAACTCTGAGCATGACGACTGGAAAATCACCTCATTTGCTAAAGTTCAATTGCTTGGCCAGGAAAGTAAAGTGGGTGCTGAATTACCCATTTCAGCTGACATTGCAGTTATAATGTATACAAGTGGAAGCACTGGATTGCCCAAGGTGGGAATCATATATGTTTGTACGTAGGTACAATGTATGCACATGCACATATATGTACATCTGTCGCACATACACGCACACTTACCTATACTTTACTCGAGTTTCATTTCTTTTTACCCTTCTAATTAATTTATTGATGGACCGCTTCATGATCGATCATTTACCAAAGATATGTTTTCTTGGTATTGAAATATTTCTTGTCAAAAAACATATGTACATACCACTTGCATAGCATCTCTCTCTATGTATCCAGTTGTGCACATGCATTTGCTACGCTCAGCAGAAAATAGAAATATTTAAGGTAACCAAACCAATTTCATCCATCAACAGCAAATCCTCATCCACTTCAGGGTCCCACAGTTTCTGCTAAAACAAATATTTGAGTACCCTGCATTACCTACCATTCCAACACAGAATTAGAAAAGTCCTTGCTTCTGGTGATTTTGTAGAACCTAAGCAAATCATTGGCTAAAGGTGCATTTAGAGATAACTATAAGAACAGATACTACACTTGATCTTAGCCGAAAGCCAGAGAAAGGTATTAAATGGGGATTTAGAGATTTAAATATCCTTCTGAAAACTAAGTTCTAACTCATGCCTTCTCCACCTTATACCTAATATTTGAATTTTTAAGATCTCCTAGTTGATTATTTAAGACCAATAAGAGCCCAATATATCTTGAAATGTTATCTTTGTTAAGATAAACAATTGTTCTCCTTAATTTATTAATCCTGTGAGGTTCTGTAGTACTGGATTCTTTTTTCCACTGCATCTTTGTGTTGCTTGCAGCCACTGGTTTGGTAGTCGAGTATTTTGTTTAACATTTCCATTATGTTCTGGAACTTCTGATAATTTATTGATAATGGCCGTGTGTACAGGGTGTGATGATGACACATGCAAATGTCTTGGCCACAGTTTCTGCTGTCATGACTATAGTTCCTGGTCTCGGAAAGAAGGATACCTATCTCGCATACTTACCCATGGCTCATATCCTTGAGTTGGCAGCAGAGGTGTGTATACTTTTGATTTCATAACTTTGGCAGCTTAGTGTAAATTCTTATTCTGTTTAGCAAAGATCGAAATTTTCATCTCTCTTTTGCTGCTCTATGATTATTTCTTGTATGGTATCTTTGTTTTTCCTGTAGAATGTAATGGCTGCTGTTGGATGTGGTATTGGTTATGGGTCTCCTTTAACACTTACTGATACATCTAACAAGATTAAACGAGGGACAAGCGGTGATGCGACTGCTCTTGTGCCAACAGTAATGACTGCTGTCCCAGCAATTTTGGATCGTGTTCGGGATGGGGTTCTTAAAAAGGTTTGTCAATTTTGCATGCATATTTTTGTTCATGTTGAATTTATTTGAACATTCCATGTATTACCATCCATTTAGCGGGTGGCTGCAATAATAAAGAGTCTTCTGGTTTCAGGTGAATGGGACAGGTGGATTAGCAAAGAAATTGTTTGATTTGGCATATAATCGTAGATTATCTGCCATGAACGGTAGTTGGTTTGGGGCTTGGGGTCTGGAAAAGCTTTTATGGAACTTTCTTGTGTTTAGAAAGGTACAAGCAATTCTTGGAGGTCGCCTTCGTTTTCTGTTGTCTGGAGGGGCACCTCTTTCTGGTGATACCCAACGATTCATCAACATCTGTCTCAGGTATGTATGACAAGAAAAGGGCGAATATTTTGAATGCCAAAGACTTGTAATGCCAGTTTATGCGTCTACAGACAACCATCCAAGAACAAATGAAGCTTTGCTGCAGGATTTCTAAATTTCAGATGTATATGAACTATTTGATACTAGTCTGGACACATATTACACAAGAGATACCAAATGATGTTCTTGTCTAGATGCATATAGGATTTTAAACTGTCCAAGGTTTGAGCCTAGCTATATTTTTTAATGACATTTTTTTATTGGTCTAATTATATATTCTGCAAAAACTGTTCAGGATTTTTATTTTTTGGTTAAGAAACAAATTCATTGATAGTATGAAATTACAAAATGGGCAAATAACCCCATCCAAAACTATCCAGGATTATTGATAATAAATAAATGCTAATGAATGCTGCACTTGACAGATATAACATATAAGTTGGTGGTTGACAAAGATGTTACAGTCCTACAACCAATTATAGTTACTAAGATTAGGTTTACAGTCCATTTTACCAAAAGTCCATGTGTGTGCACGTTAATATTTCAGTTACCATCTTGCACGTGTATCTCATGGTATGCTATTTTCAGTGCTCCAATAGGCCAGGGTTATGGTCTTACTGAGACTTGTGCTGGTGGGACATTCTCCGAGTTTGATGACTTAAGCGTTGGTCGTGTGGGAGCTCCACTTCCTTGCTCATTTGTTAAGGTATCTATTCATCCTCCTGGTTCTGTGATCCCCTATTGATATGTCCAATTATGCATCCAAGGGCCGGTATTTTTTATGGATGACGGATACATATAGAAATATGTCGTGCATCTATAGTAGTAAGTACTAACATCCGAGGTTGAAAATCTGACATTCATTTTCAACGGAAATTTCACAAAGCCAAAAGTACCTTGAGGCAAAAATAGTTTGCTGATGTATATGTCATTTAAAGTTCCCCGGCCTGAATGGCTGAATGTATAACGACCTGAATTGGAAACTTAGAGAAACGTGAGTAAAAGGAAGAGCCACTACAGTCTTTACACCTACCCTTTCTCTATCCAATGTCAATTCTATTGGATGTTTTACTATGATCATCGCAGCATTTGTTTTCCAGTGGTCAACTTCAAGGCATTTGTTTTACTTTCTCAGTTGATTGATTGGCCCGAAGGTGGATACCAGACTAGCGATCTGCCAATGCCTCGTGGAGAAATTGTAATTGGTGGTCCAAATGTTACACTTGGATACTTCAAAAATGAAGAAAAAACTAGAGAATCATACAAGGTAAAGTCTCCTTGTTGCTGGTGTTGTTGATACCTGGAGTATTTTTTCTTGAGATTTGCAAATTTATGCAATGTCTCTTTGTGCAAAGGTGGATGAGAGGGGAATGCGGTGGTTCTACACTGGTGACATCGGGCAATTTCATGCTGATGGTTGCCTTGAAATTATTGACCGTAAAAAGGATATAGTCAAACTTCAACATGGAGAATACGTTTCCTTGGGAAAGGTATGACATCAAAGATTACCTTTTTTGTATATCTTTTCTAATCAAATTATTTGCTTTCTAAGTAATGTTTCTCTACAGGTTGAAGCCGCACTCAGTGGGAGCCCGTATGTTGACAATATAATGCTGCATGCTGATCCTTTCCATAGTTTCTGCGTGGCACTTGTCGTGGCCTCTCAACATGCAGTAGAAGAATGGGCTTCTAAGCAAGGAATCGATACAAGCGATTTTGCTGAACTCTGTCATAAAGAAGAAGTAGTGAAGGAAGTGCAATCATCACTTGTTAAGGTATCTGTATTCTGACTCGGATTTGTGTTCGATTCGATTCTTATCCCATCCCAAGTACCCTACCCTCATGCTTTTCACGAGCCCCTTTGTTTCTTCATTTACTGTCTTTCCAAAACAACCAGCCACCTAATCTTCACCTAGCTCCTCCCCATGAAGAAAAAAGAAAGCAAAAATGGAAACATTCTGAAAATCTTGTTTGTACACATGCTAGTTAAACTACAAGATTGGTTTCTAGATTTTTAAGATTGCGTCTAATAAGTCCCTTAAATTGTCTGATGGGTCTCTAAGCATTCAATTTTTTCTAACAACTTCCTGAACTTTTTAAAAAGTGTATGATAGGTCCTTACTTGATCCATTAGACACAAAGTTGAAAGTTTATGGAACGATTGGACATTTTTTGAAATTGCATATTAGACACAACGTTAGACAAATACAGTTCATGGACTGAACTTATGATAAATATTCTAGCACAAAATTCTTTTGTCTTCTTCGAAGAAACTAAAAGGAGGCATCATGTAATTGTACGTGTTTTTATACTTGTTGACAGGAAGCAAAGAAGGCGCGATTAGAGAAATTCGAGATCCCTGCGAAAGTCAAATTGCTATCGAACCCATGGACTCCTGAATCTGGACTAGTTACTGCAGCTCTCAAGCTTAAAAGAGACATTATTAGGAAGGCTTTCTCCGAAGACCTCTCTAAACTGTATGCCTGATGATTATGTTCTGCCCACAACTTGGATATGGAGAAATTGTCCTTGGAGTTAGGTTGGTTTTCCAGGATTAATTCTCTCTATTTCTTATCCATTACGTTTTCCTAGGTTGTCTTGTGATTTTGGTTTACTTTTAAATATTTTCTTTTAAGGTTGTCTTTAACTATTCGCGAGTACTGGAATTTAGTTCTTAATAAGAAATGAGGAAGGTACCAGTTTTGTTTTGCTTTGTTTTCGTAGTTACATTTGATGTGATTTATATGATTCTTGTTCGATAATATTTAGTACAATTCGATAATTAATGAAATTAATTATTAATAGAATTACACACGTGACTTATTATTTGCGACAACATATACCAAAACGAAACGAGCCAAAAACTTGCACCAAGAACTCCGTCTGTTTTATACAGATTCAATCTGTTGTAATTACTTTGGCAATTTGGTATTGAAAAAAGTGAAATCTTACCTTCCCTCGTTTAGTTTGAATTTCATCCCCAATAGAGCTATGATTTTATGAAAACAAAGTGGAAGGTTTGAGCTTTGATATAGAGAACTTAAATTGGTAATTTCGATGGAGCCAGATCTGAAAATGCATTGTTGCAAAACAAACAAAAAAGAAAATGACGAAAAACAAACCAGAAACTTCAGTAGCTTAGAAACAATTCACTCGTATTAATCATACTTCAGCTTGCAGGAACTATAACTGTGAACTCTTTCAATTACACTTCCATTTCACACCCGATTCTATACACAAGTAAACATACATATCGAGAATCCTGTAGCAGTTCGTTTAGCTCGGAGACCGTTCATTAAACCGTTAGGTTTCTTTAAATAACTGGGGGACCAAAATCGTGGGAAGACGAGGGTTGTAAAGCACGAATTTTTACTTCATATTTCATACACCTAGAGACTTCATGGGGCAGGGATGAATCTGATCCATCTGAAACAAGTGGAATGGAGGAAGCACGGCTAGTGTGAGCATTTCCAATATGGTTTCCACACTTTCGACAAAGTAGTTTGGTTCTTCGTCGAAACAGACCCCAAGAGTGTTTTGAGAAATGAGGCACACACTGAAGTTCATCAACTTGTGTAAATCTGCTCTCATCGACGTTTAGAAACGATATGATCCCTCGCTTTATTGATTTACCATATTTAGAGCCAATGGTCGATGTATTGCGGTTAGAAGAGCTCAAGTTCAGTTCATATCCACAAGCACCACAGCTGTATGAAAAAAAAACTATTGTCATTACAAGTTGACCAGAAAACAAACAAGAAATGCATAGAATACATGGACAAGGTTTCCAATTAAGCATTTTCAATTCTGACCAAACACCGGCCCCCACCATCACATGTCAAGGTTTCCAATTCCATGGGTAGCTATATAGTACCCTGAACTCAACGGCTGCAAAGTAATTGAAGTGACTAAACAGTCACTGATACTTTTTGACATAAATTTGTCTTTCACTTTTTCTCAATCCTTATGTCCAACAGAGTCTTTAATTTCAACTGTTTTTTCTCAACCCTTATGTTCAACAGAGGGTTTAAGATTAGATTTACCAATTTTACCTTAGCTAGAAAGAGGCTTTATTAAAACATGTGACGATATGAGGGCAGGTTCATAACTGATTGATTTGTTGTCTGGATCGGTCTCAGGTATTTTCAAGGTGTTACAGGAGGGAGAGTCTTCTCCTTTGGTCATCTTCTTAGGACATCCCTCTGGGATCAGATATGAAATTGAAAACAAATCCTCACTGCTAAAAAGAGCCAATTTAGAGTAGATTTTAAGTTCAAAATTATAGAAGGTATTAGCCCCTTCTCATCTTTCCAACATCTACCAAAGGACCCTATTAGTTAAGCCATTGGCCAGTGGTTCCTCTCTTTTTCTTCAAGTTGAAGGATCACTACTAGAGAAAGCAGAGGAGAGAATCCCAAATACGAAAAAGGAAGAAATGCAATATATTCAGAAAATGAGCACATGACAGAGTTCATTTGAATGGAAGTTTACAGGTAGAAGAAGTTTCAAGCTTAATAAATAATCCCCCCATCACAATTCAATTGGGTTAATTGAGTTCATCAAAATCAAAGACTAGCCATCTCCATCATGCTAATAACTACAAATATTTCTTAAACAGGTCAGACCAGTCCAGGCACTACTCTGCTCTATTACAACTATTGACAAATTTCCTGTTCCTCATATTATAATTTTAGTTTACGGGCCTTAAATGTGCTGAATTCGTCCAATCAAACCCAACCCTATCAAGCCTTACACCAAATGCAGTCGACATACTAAAAAATCAATCACGATTTTGGGAATACTAATCAGTTCGAAATCGACTCAATTAAGGTATGAAACAATAAATAATTCCCACCCCGTCCCTTAAATCAGGCAATTCCACTAGCCCCTCCCATCAGAACGGGAAAAAAAAAATCAGAGACAGTATGGCAGAAACAAATACTTGTGGAACTAAAAAAAATGAATACAAAAGTGAGATAGAAGGCAGAAATTAGATTAAACCTGTAATAAACATCTCTGCGAGAAGAAGAAGAGTAGAGAGAGGCAGCAGAAAAGGAGTGGGAGTGAGTTCCATCGATGTAATCGTCTCCGACGACCGGCGACTGCTTCATTCTTCTGCTACAAGATACAACACCGTCTCCAATGCTGGCTGCAACGCTTGACGGAGGTATCGAGGCCGTGAATGCGGAATCGTAGTTGCTAGAAACAACGATTCAATTTGGACAGTGACGAACAAGTTCCGACTTTTAATCTGATCGAGCCCAACGATTGCAGAAACTGATCTCCGGAGGAAAAAAAAATTGAAGTTTATCGGAGAAGAATTCTGGTTAGAGGAAGAATTGGAGAAAGAACGGTGATGGGGAAGCGCAGCTGGAAGAAGAGAAATCGAAGAAATCGATGGGGGAAAAAGGAAAAAGATGGTTCTTCTTTGTCTCTCTGGCTTTTTTTTCCATTTTTTTATTATTTTATATTTCTCTGAACCTGACGCGGCATTGTAACGGAAAAAAAAATACAAGTTAATTAGATTGAGACGTTTTTTATTTTTTTTTTGGAAAGATTGGATTGAGACATTCCACATTGTTAAATTATATACTTTTTAATTGTCAAAAATAATTATATATCTTTTAAATCCAAGACTACTAGAATATATACCATTTGCATTTTAATTATAATTCAACGAGTTAAACTATATATCATTAATTAAAATGTTATATATTTATTTAACTAAAAGAGTTAATTACGATATTGTTGAACCATAAAAAATTAATTATGACATGATTTCTTATCGGCGAATCTATTTATTTTAAACGAAAATAAATGAAGTTAATTTTATCAAAAAAAAATTCAAAACAAAAAGTTAACAAAGTTGATGATTAGCCTAACTAAGTCACTAATCATGACTTAGTGGTTAAAGACATATATTATCGATAAAAAATCGAAAGTTAGAATTCTCGCTCGGAAAACACTTACGATTATCTTTTAGAATTGTAATTTCACCTAATGAAGGCCCATGTGGCATGGACACGGGGTCGACTCTTCATTGAGGCTCTTCTTTTGACTTAAAAATTTTACAATTTTTTTAAGGATAAAATTATCAATTTATTTAATGATTTGACCCCACATCTAAGGCCAATCATACTTTGAATAGTCAAGTTATAATTATGCCTATGTTTTTTTTTTTGTTATTACTGTTTTTTTAATAATAAAGGGAGGTGCTAAGTATTCTTCACAATGATTAGTTGAGGCAATTTTTGTAACCAGATTTAGAATTTTAGTAGTTATAAATTTTAATTTAGGCCTTTTAAGATAAAATATTATTTATGTTAAAATTATGATTATACTTCCTATGGTTTTTATTATTATCATAATCGCCCACCATAAAAAGTAAATTGTTAGCTAGGATTTTTTTTTTTTAATTGTTAGCTATGTTAGTGTCTTTAAATATGGAATATCTGATCAATTAATTTGTCGAGGACAATATCTTAATTGTTAAATTTATATATAAAAAATTACCAGTGGTATAAAAAACTTACTTTTCCATTTTATTAATGGAATAAATATTTAAAAATGATAAATATGAATATTCATTAAAAAAATATGGTCTACGAAATTCTGTATTTCATTTTTCTTCTAAGAAAACTTGTTTAGTCTCTATACGTTGAAAGTGTTCTATTTAATCATATGAAAATGGTCTTCAAATATGATAGATTTATATTCTTTTTAAGTCTGGAAAATAACTTTAAATATTTTTGAAATAAGTTCGTTGTCTAGATAAAGACATAAAGCTTATTTGATTTTTTTTTAAATAATCATAGGTAACTATTATGTTATCGTGTAATTTTCCCCTTTGATCAACTGTGTAGATATTAAATAATTACGTTTCAAATTTCATAAACTAAATTAAATTATTTCACAAAGACAAAAAATACTTTCGACGAAGACAAAAAAATAGAGGGCACTTAAACGTATTCTAAATTCAATCCTTACGAAAATAAAATAATCCGAAGTTCATCCATGACTTGATTTTTTTTAAATACAGAATTAGG